TGTGTGTGTGTGTGTGTGTGTGTGTAGGCATGGAGATCTGATCTTGGGTTCTCGGTCTCCCTTGTTCTTAATACTTCTACTTTTGGAAACCATGGTCAGTCTGAGATTGCTAAAGGCAGGGATGGGGAAAGGATTCTATCCAGAAAACAGTTGTAGAGAAATTATGAATGACCTGAAATTTCCGTGTTCTGGTCTGTGTGGTGTAAAGAGTGTATTTCCAGGGTGAGTGACCTAGCTGCGGGTTTCCCATTGCCCTTCACTATCCCTAGCATCCCTTAACCAAAAGGCTGGAGCCCGGAATTAACTCTGGTAGTGGGAGCAGCAGGAAGTGAAGGGACTGGACGCCAGGACTGGGCAGTGGAGGTGAGCCCCGGGGTGGGAGTGCACCAGTAGCCGAGGCTGGGGTCTCACCCCAACTTCCCTTTTAGTACCGCTCCAGACTTTAGGTAATCCAGGAACTGGGTTTCAAACCAGGTATTGTACTTCCCCTTTAAGAATCTAGCTGCGACCTTAAGAGAGGGAGGGGGAGCTGAGGGGAGGGGAGGGAGAGAGAGAGGGGAAAAGGAAAAAGAGACTTTTATAGTCTAATCCCCAGGGACCCGCTTTAATAAGAGACTTGTGCTCTGCTAATCGGGGGAGGTGTTTGTCAGCAGAGATGGCCTCTGCTCCCCTCCCCCTGCCTCCCCTCCCCCAGCCAACCCCGGACCCCAGCCCCCACCTTGCCTAGGCTGTTCTGCCTGCCCTAGTTCCCTCTAGCCTCTCAGTCTCCCACCCTAGCCTGCATCCCTGGGAACCCAGCCCCCTGCTCTTCTGGGAGCCAAGCCCAGCCCCTCAGTTTGTCTCCCGTGCTCACTAAGAGGCCCCTGCCCTCTCGCCCAACCTCCTGCCCCTGGGCCATCCAGCCTGCGTAGGGAGAGGGTGTGTGGTGGGGTGGAGGCTGTAGGCAGAGAGGGGGTTGGGCCTTGGCTGAAAATAGTGCAGTGACCTCTCTCCCCCATCAGCACCGCCTACTAAACCTGACCTGCCGCCTGCCACCAACCAAATCAATCCAACACAGATGTGGCCCCTTCCCCTCCCCACCAGAGCTGGGCCTAAATGGGTGTTGGGGACTCTCCAGTCCTCTCCTCTGTGGCTTTACCTGCTCCTTTGTTCCTTCTGCACCTCACCATCTCTACCCCAGGAGGTCTGACTCTCCTACCCTTGCCCTCTTAACCCCTGCCCACCCAGCCTCCCACTTCCCAAACATTTCCTCTCTTACTCGGTTCCTCTGCTGCTCTCCTCTAACCTGCCTTCTTCCTTCTTACCCGATCCTCTCCAGCTTCTTCCCCACATCTTGTTCCTTAGGAACACTGCCTGCACACACACAGAGACATATATGTGGATTCCCTGTGGTCGGAAAGAGAGGAACCCTTGTCCAAAGGAACCAGACTTAAGAGGGTATCCTATTGCCTTGTCTCAGCTTTAAGTGGGCTGCTTAGTTTATAAAATGAACACTTATTCATTATAGAATCTTAATAAGCTATTATTTTCCACACTATTTAATCACACTGGGAAGTATGGTCAGTAAGGTTAGATAGTGGGCAACAAGCCAGGCAATGGGTAAACTTACTTTGGTTGCTGCCAGAGAAGAGTCTAGGAAGAACCTGCCATTCAACATAATTTACTGCTTGACATTACGGGACCCACGGAAACTACAATGATGACAAGACAGTCTCCAGACAAGTATAAACCTCCAGAGAGATAAGAACCTAATGGCAAGAAACAGATGATTCTAGCTGGACCTGGTGGTACCTGCATGTAATCCCAGCTACTCAGGAGATTGAGGCAGGAATTTCTGAAGTTCAAAGCCTGCCTGAAGTACAGAGTTCAAAGCCAGCCTGGGCAACTCTGTCTCAAAATAGAGACCGGGAATGTAGCTCAGGGGTAGAGTGCTTGCCTAGCAGGTGTGAGGACCTAGGTTTGCTACACACGCACGCACACACGCACGCACGCACGCACGCACGCACACACGCACGCACGCACGCACGCACAAATAATCTATGCTCCAATTAGACGTGATATGCCTTTGGACTCTGATCTCATCAGTATCTTTCCTGACCCAAACTATCCTCCTAATCTCCTTATCCCTACGCTACTTTAAGAGAGAATATCAGAACACTGGGATCTTGGAAGAACAAAAGGAAAGATGCTGCAGGACATGGTGTGTCATGTTCTGAGTATATAGTCATTGAGTACTTTCTCCCTCACCCCATTTGGAGAATCCTCCTCCTGGGGTGATAGGGAGCTAGCCAGAGACAACAGATTATGCAGGTGGTAATGCTGGGTGTGACAGACAGGCAAGGGCCTGGACGTCACCATACTTCCATGTCTCTGGAAAAACCTCCTTCCATTCTTCCTATCTACAGTGAGAACGGCATACCTGTCCAAAGGACACATGACCTAGGGCATCTCTAGCACACTTAGGAGGTCAGGAAGAGCTAGGCATCATGGTACAGGAAGATTGCTGCTAGCTGAGGCCAGCATGGGCCACTTAGTTCCAGAGAAGCCAAGGACACAAAACAAAGCTGCCTTAAAACAACAAAGACTGAAAAGAGTTGAAGGAAAACTGGGAGGAGCTGGAATAGAAGGAAAGGGATATAGTGAGACCTAGCCGGGCGGTGGTGGTGCACGCCCAGCACTCGGGAGGCAGAGGCAGGAGGATCTCTGTGAGTTCTAGGCCAGCCTGGGCTACAGAGTGAGTTCCAGGACAGACACCAAAACTACAAAGAGAAACCATGTCTTGAAAACAACAACAACGAGAGGAAAAAAAAAAAAAAGGAAGAGCCATCCTTGGTAACAAGGGAAAAGGGCCAAAATGTAAAGTGGGGACACGGAACCTTTGTAGATTTAGAGGCGCTGGACTGAGCAGACAAGGGGAGCTCGGGTAGAAAGATGGCTGCTTATAGTTGACTTGGTGTGTTAAGCATTATTTCTGATGCTCTGGGCAGGTAGGACACTCCGTAGTTTTTCCTCCTCTCAAAAGCTGAGATGAGTATCTCTGCTGGCAGTGAGGGAGCAGCAGTGGAGAGACGAACGGAAGTCAGAAACACAGGAAATGGTTGGCAGTTCCGTTCTGTACCATGTGCTGTTGGGAAGAAGAGCCTAGATCTGAATTCTGGTTCACTTTATAAATTCAGCCCACACTCCATCTCTTTGAACCCTGGGCTATTTCCTCTGATGCCCCCTTTCTTTTGGGGGGGAGGGGCTGCCAGGCTCCACCTGCACATTAGACAGACCCGGGCAGTGATGGGGCAGAGTAACTTGAGGACAGCAGGTACAGTGAGAGTTACGGCTTCTAGGACGCACAATAAAGATCCAGAAGAGGCTGGAGGCAGAGAAGGCTTCAGAGGCTCAGTAACGACCTTAGCTGGTCAGATCCTGTGTGAGGAGAGATGGTATCGGGAAAGGGCATTGATCAGTAAGGCCTAACAAATTCATCATCCTAGAGATGAGATGATTTTAGGTACCAGAGACACAGTAGACAACAAGACACAGAAGGGTGAAGAAGAACTGGAAACAGGCTGAGAAGAATCTGCTAACGCCACCCAGGGCTCCGCAAACACCCTTTGCTGACGCTGTGCCCCTTCTCTCCCATCAGCGGACCCCGCAGTGCAGACAGATGGCAGCCCTCTCTGTTGCCATTTCCACTTCAGCCCCAAGGTGATGTTCACAAAGGTCCTCAAGGCCCAGCTGTGGGTGTACCTTCGGCCTGTGCCCCGCCCAGCCACAGTCTACCTGCAGATCTTGCGACTGAAACCCCTAACTGGGGAAGGGACGGCAGGGGGAGGGGGTGGAGGCCGGCGGCACATCCGCATCCGGTCACTCAAGATTGAGCTGCACTCGCGTTCCGGCCACTGGCAGAGCATCGACTTCAAGCAAGTGCTGCACAGCTGGTTCCGCCAGCCGCAGAGCAATTGGGGCATCGAGATCAACGCCTTCGACCCCAGCGGCACGGACCTGGCCGTCACTTCCCTTGGGCCAGGAGCTGAGGGGCTGGTGAGCAGGGGCCTGAAGTGGTGGTGGATATGTGTAACCTGTCCCCAGGAGATAGGGGTTAGAAAAAAAAAAGTCAGGAATGTGGAGGTTGGGGCCAGGAACTAATTCCAGAGGAGGTGAAGGTGGGGTGGCAAACTATCACTTTTCAGGGATTTAAGCCAGGTAACAGCTGAAAACTGAAACTGGATTGGGGTGAAGGTGTCAGTTAGTGGGAGACCCGTGGGAACACAGAACTGACCCTTGTCTGGGCGTGGTGTTATCTAATCCTAGCACTAGGAGACCAGAGACGGGATCAGGAGTGCTAGACTATTTTCTGCTACATAGCAAATTGGAGGCCGGCCTGAGCTATGTGAGATCCCATCTCAAATCAAAACTAAACAACCTGGCCCTTGATGAGGCCCTGGGCCAAGGAACTGATGAGGTCACACTGCCAGGAAAGGGAGAATGAAGCCAAGTGAGCAGCAGAGCTAGCTGGATGGCGGGAAGTGGGTCGGTCTGTGGGTGGGAGCAGTGAACCGGCGGAGATGCCAATGGTTTCTGACCTGATGCTCTTGAGATGCAGGTAGGAGAGTAAGAGAAACTCTTCAGGGCTATGTCACATCTCTCTCCCCTCTCCCTGACCCTCAGCATCCTTTCATGGAGCTTCGAGTCCTAGAGAACACAAAAAGGTCCCGGCGGAACCTAGGCCTGGACTGCGATGAACACTCCAGTGAGTCCCGCTGCTGCCGATACCCTCTCACGGTGGACTTTGAGGCTTTTGGCTGGGACTGGATCATTGCACCTAAGCGCTACAAGGCCAACTACTGCTCCGGCCAGTGCGAGTACATGTTCATGCAAAAGTATCCACACACCCACTTGGTGCAACAGGCCAACCCAAGAGGCTCTGCTGGGCCCTGCTGCACCCCTACCAAGATGTCCCCAATCAACATGCTCTACTTCAATGACAAGCAGCAGATTATCTACGGCAAGATCCCTGGCATGGTGGTGGATCGCTGTGGCTGCTCCTAAGGTGTGGGCTACAGTGGATGCCTCCCTCATAAACCCTACCCCAAGAACCCCGGCCCTGGTCCCCATTCCCCCAAGCCCTAGAGCGCCCTCCACCTCTTCCCGTGAACATCACACCTTGTTCCCTGACCAAGCAGTGTGCAATACAACAGAGGGAGGCAGGTGGGGATGGAGGGTGAGGGGTTGGGAGGAAGAAGGGCAGTCAGGGTGGAATGTATCTGAGATTTGCAGGTGAGAAGGTTTGGCAAGAAGACAGAGATGTAGAGACAGAGAGAGAAGACGAAGGATGGAGACAGAACAAACAGAGCAGCGCTGAGAAGGCAAAGGAGTAGAGGCTACAGACTGAGACTAGACAGAGACAGAGCAGAGACGGAGACGGGAGTACAATGAAAGCCCTGCCCCAAGCCTCCTTTCTACCAGCAAGGCCCGAGGCTTGGTATAGTTTGGGGAGTTCCCGACAACTCAGTAGGAGTAAATCAAAAGTCCATTCTTAGCTTCTTCCTTCTCTCCTTCCAGCAGTCGTCAGAGGTGGATGAGGATGGGGCAGAGGAGGACCTGGGAATTTTTATTTATTTATTTATTGTGACGTTTCATTGTTTTGGTATTTGGCTTTACTGGAACGGGGACCCGGCCCACTGGCCCACTGGTCCAACTCCCCAAACCCTGCTCTCCCCAGCACCAACCCACTTAAGCACTTGTTTTCCGCCTACAGGGTTGGGAGTGGGGGTACAGGGCAGGAGGGCTGACACGTGGGAGCTTCTAACCCATATCACCCTAACCAACCTTCTTGAGCCAAATGGGTTGAGCTGAGTGGTCATGGAAACAGAAAGTTCAGACTTAAGAGCTGGGGGGGGGGGGTTCAACATCCAGGATCTATGAGAGCTACTAAACTACCCCTCAGGCCTACCTTATTCGTGGTATTATTTAGCCAGGGGGTACAGCCTGCTTACCCCAAACCCCCCTCAGCCAAGAGACCAAAGAGCCTGTGGGATGCTCCTGCTCTCAGCCTCTATCTTCAGGTCAGTAAAAAGTAGAAATCCCAGAGTCCCCCAGGTCTGGGAAGGGTTAAGGGTCAAGAAAATAGTCAAGAGGCTGAAGGTTACAGGGCATTTGAATCCAAATCACTGCTCTAGGCTAGGGAATACAGCCAGCAGACCAAGGTGGAAGGGATTCTGAAGGGGGGACATTTTAGTCCCCCTACCCCAAAGCTCAGGGTGGGAGAAGGGAGAACAAGGGAGCAGAGTGTCTATAATTTTATCTTTTATTTTTGGAATATAGCAGTCCTGAAAGCAGGGAGGGGACAGTATAGGCATGTGACAAGGCCAGTTACAGCAGAGGATGGGAGGATGGAGAAGCCTTGGTTTGGAAGGCTTAGGAAGCAGGCAAGCAATTAGCTGCCACTTCAAGTCACTAACTGGGCCCACTCATTCCTCCCACAATCCTGACCCACCCTCCTCTGGACTCACTGTGCCTCAGTTTCTTCCCCTTGACGGAATGAGAAACAGCAGCACCCGCCACAGCCAAGAGATGAATTCTGAGCACTTACCACGGGCACTTTATGGACATAAAATACCTCTCGCTGTGGGACTAGATAACCAGGGCACCACAATGTGAGGCTTAAAGGAGTCACGGGCTTCAGAGCACAAGCACCCTCTGCCTCTCAGCTGGACAATGCCTGAAGCCAAGGAGCTGAAAATCTCCACACCCTAACCATACCTCACCAGTGGCCTCTTGGCTCCAGACAAGTCTTAAGAGGATGGGGGGAGAGGGGAGATTACAGCAAAATGTCACGTGTCGCGCCGGCCATCATGGTAGAAAAAGAACTGAACTGAATGAAGCCTGGCCAGGAAGGTCTGTGCTTCCTAAGAGCGTATTGTTTCTCTCCCTTGGGCCAGACCATAGAAAGGACAAAGGTATGTGACTATCCTTGGCACCTAACTCCTATTCTCATAGTGAGAAAAGGAGATAAGATGTCTCCTATGAGGATGGACAAGGGTTAAGCCTTTCAACTCACTTCCCATGTAGCAGCTGTTAGTCCCAAGCCTCTCCTCTCTGGGCCTGTTCTTCGTCCTCTTTATCTACCCCATCTTAAAGAACAAGACACGTTTGTCCATCAACACTAAACCACACTTCCTTGGTGGAGGAGAGGAATAGAAAAGCAGAAGATGCTTTCCTCCAAGGTCAAATGCTTCTTGATCTTGGAAAAGGTAAGGGTTGGATAATTAGTTATCAGGTAAACTTCTCTACAGTTGAGAGAGCTGGGGCATTAAACTTCAAATATTGCCTCTTTATTACCACCAAGTAAATACCTTTCCAGGGGGAAGGGGTTCTCTTATGAATACAAACCTGAGTTAAGCCTCAGTTTCCTGGTCTTTTCTATCCCCTAAGAGGCTTGAGGACATGGCCTAGCAGTTGAGTGGGACCTGGCACTTCTCACACCTTACCTTCGTGGACTGGCCAGTCTCCTCTGAGAGTATCGTTATTAGTGTAATTCTTTACTTGTGTATCTGTTACATCGTGTGTGATGGCCTTTGTTTGTTAGGGTGTCTGAGGACAGGGGCTGACAGGGGCACTGGAATGCCAGGAAAGGACTTCTCCACTGAAACCAAGGTTTCCAGGAAGGAACCATTACAAAAAGGCCATCAGGCAGTTTTCAAGTTATGTGACAGAGGGCAAAGATGGCCATAGGGTGCTCTGAGTTTTGGGACTGTCACATGACACAATCCAGCACTTGAACCTGAAAAAAGAAAAATAAAAGCAGTCAAAGAGTTTAGAATTCAGTGGTGAGCTCTTCTCCCTAATTGAGGGTCACGTTTACACCGGGAGACTAAGAACTAAAGCACCTAAGATTTAAAGAACCTTTTTAAGAAAAAGAGGACTAAGAAGATGAGGACCATGGAGCAAGAAAGGAAACACTAAGGGTATGGGGAATGCTGACTGGGACACACGATGGAGGATGGACAGAGGCTGGGAAGGAGAGAGGACTGAAGAGTCAGTAGTATTACCAAAATCAACTGGCAGCTCCCCATTGTAGCTAAGTGTTTCAAACGCTGAATCCACTATAAAAACTCCCACATGCCTACAGCACAATTCATAAGGCACCAGAGCCAGGGGTAGCAAAGTAATCTTGCTTGAGTCCCAGGATTCACTGAACCACTTGGCTTTCTCTGTCCCATTAATTCCATCAAAGCTTTCCTGCCAATGAGCTAGATTAAAGGGGCAATGCCTGGGCCTCTTCTCAGTCTCACCCACCTGCCCCCACCCCAAAAGAAGCCAGACTGCATAAACAGGTGCATTCACACACACAAAGGCCAGATTACTCCACTCACCACCTGACCCCCATCCTCTAGCTGGAACCTGCTTGTGGGGAGGGGGAGTGGGTTCCCACTTATCCCAGATCTCAGTTTTACTTGGGTAAATTTCAGGATTAATACTCACAGAAACTACTATGTAAACTAATTAGGGATGTGTACTTGAGTGCATGATAACGTCATTTATTCTCACTGCAACCCTCACAGTAGTTTGCAAACATTCACGAGCAGTTAAGCAGTAAGGTAGAACAAGGAATGGACCCAGGCAGTTAACACACAACAGTATGTTCTAATCTGTTTTCAAATGATAGGAGAGGCGGCGAACTGAATTTAGGGACAACACAAAGTGAGAAAGTTGAAGAACACTTTGGATCCAAAGGGTTGCAGGGTACAGAACCTTTCCCAATGTCTTCCAAGAGAAAAACTCGTGAGCTCAGGGATGGGATGTAGCATGGCTGACAGAGTGCTTGCCTAGTGAATATGGAGTTCCTGCCCAGGACCACATAAAACAAGGCACATTGACTGGCACAGGCATGTAATCCAAGCCCTACAGAGGGAGAAGCAGGAAGACCCAGAAATCCAAGGTCACCCTCAGCTTGCTCCATAGCCCATTTGAGGCCAGCCAGGGCTGTAAGAGACTTGCCTCAAGAAGAAAACAAGAAAAAGGACATTGGGTTTTGGAGGGATTAATAAACAAAATAAGTGCCACTGTCTATCAGGGGCCTTGTATGAGAGAGCAGTTAAGAAAAACTTATCCGAGAGTCTGAGACCAACCTGGTCTACAGAGCCAGTTCTAGGATAGCCAAGGCTACACAAACGCTGTCTCCAAAAAAAAAAAAAAAAGAAAGAAAAAAAAAATATCCTAGCCAGGTAGGGTAGCACACACCTTTAATCCCAGCACTTGAAGGCAGAGGTAGGTGGATCTCTGAGTTCTTGGTCATCCTGGTCTACAGAGTGAGTTCCAGGACAGCCAAGGTCTCTACGTATAGAGAAACCCTGTATTGAAAAGCCAAAGGGAAAAAAGTCATCTTGTCTCAACTATCTGAATTTCCTCCTCCCTGTTTCTTATGTCAGACTAACATGTCTCAAAGACTCAAGAAATATTGCTCTTATACCTTCCTTCCTATAGCCGTCACCCCTAAAGTTTCTGGCCTTTTACCTCCAGCAGTTCTCAGAGATGGCAGAACCATCAAAAGGTACAACTTTACAGCTAAAGGAGCCAGCCCTCACTGTGGCTAGCACAGATCCCTCAGGAACTCCTGGGGAATGTCAATTATCAACCACAGAGACTGGGAGATGAAGAACGGTGCTTGGGTCCCAAACCCAGTTGTCTGTCTAGCCAAACAAAATGGACTTGGGTTTTAAAGACTAAATTAGTAAAAACATAGGCATTCTGATCTACTCTCGCTCATTGTGTGGAATGACTAAAGGACACAGAAGAGGACGTTCAGGCTTAGAAGTTAAGAGAATCTTCTGACCATTGTATGAACAGCTAGAGAAATGGAACAAAAAGGGTTAATAGAGAAAAAAAGAGCTGGGTGGTGGTGGCACATGCCTTTAATCCCAGCACTCAGGAGGCAGAGGCAGGAGGATCTCTGTGAGTTCGAGGCCAGTCTGGGCTACAGAGTGAGTTCCAGGACAGGCTCCAAAGCTACACAGAGAAATCGTCTCAAAAAAAACAAAACAAAAAAAGAGAGAGAGAGAAAAAAAGGTGGTGCACACCTTTAATCCCAGCACTCGGGAGGCAAAGCCAGACAGATCTCTGAGTTTGGACTCCTACTTCCCACATAAAAAGCCAGGTCCAGTAGCATTTGTCTATAACTCCAAAAATGGAGGTTAGAGACAGTAGATCCTTGCAAATTATTGGCTGGCCAGCTTAGCTAAATCAATGAGTTCCAGATTCAGTAAGGGGCCTTGTCTCAATAAATCAAATGGTGAGAAACCTGATGTGGACTACCAGCTTCAACAGGCACACATACCTACCTATATGAACACATGTCTATGTCATTCACACATAAAAGTAAAACCACAAAGACTCTTAGCCAGGCATGGCAATAATCCCACCACTATTAATAATCCTAGCATTCAGGAGGCTGATGCTGAAGGATGCTGTGAATTCAGAAGCAGCCTGGACTACAAAGTGAGACACTGTCTCAAAAATGAGGGTGGGTAAGAGCAGAGAGAACCCTAGGTTGAGTGGAGTATGTCTCTGCAAGGTTATGGAGGATAAAGAGATAAAGATCAGCGCTGGGTTGTGGAGTCTCACACCTTAATGGTGTTCGTGCGTGCGTGCGTGCGTGCGTGCGTGCGCGCGCGCCTGTCTCTGAGTTCAAGGCTAGCCTGGTCTACAGAACAAGTTCCAAGACAGCCAGGGCTAAATGGAGAAACGCTGTCTCAACAACAACAAAAACAGAAAAATCACATCGATACCAGGAATGACTTAATATTAACACTGAGGAGGCAGAGGCAGGCAAATCTCTTTGAATTTGAAGCCAGTCTGGTCTACATAGGGAATTACAGGACAGCCAGGGCTGTTACACAGACACATCCTGTCTCAAAACACACCAACACCACATCGAAGGACCCCCACTGCTACATTCTATTATCAGCATCTACTTTATTCCTTCAGTATTTATTGATTTATACTCATTCTGGATATAAATACTAATGAACCTATACTCTGTCTCCTAATACAAAACACCCATTCTCTGGTTTTCTGATGAAGACCCTGTGGAGAGGAAAATAGTAACTGGAGGTTACAGTTTAGTGTAAAAAGGGGGGGGGGGACAGAAGAGAATGATTGGAAGAGAAACTCACCCAATTACATCATTGTTTTGGATGAGGTGATAGAAGTTTAATCAGCTTTTCCTCCTGATTTCAGTTTTTCCAAAGTGTCAGAGGAGACTGAGTTCACAATAATGGCAATGAAGTCCTCCAGGCCTTTCTAGGAGCCGGGGACAAGCCTCGGTACAGCCTGAGTCTGCCTCGAGCAGGGCTGTCACCCCAGGCACACGTCACGCTGCACGGCACAAGACTGCAGTGTTAGGGAGGTTAGCTTCCTATTAATTACAAAACCAGCTGGTTTGGATAGAAATAAGGACAAAGATGTACATCACAGCAACACAAGATTTAATTATGGTAGCAAAGTTTTCAAGTAAAGTGACTTTTATGACCTTCCCAAAGAAATCTCCCAAACCAATCATTTATTGATCCAGAAATACAGAGATTAGAATGAGAAACCCAAGCAGGTGTGGTGGTGTTTGCCTGTAATCACAGCACTAAGAAGGCTCAACAGATTCAAAGCTGCCTCCAGGCTGCAGTGAGACCTCTCTCAAAAACCAGGAGAAAAAAGGGGACACGAAGAGAGGACTTATATTAACACATCGAAAAGTAGCAGGTTTCAGATTTACACAGAACGTAGAGAAACAAGCAGTCTGCTTAGTCAGCCAAGCCTTTGCTAAGTAGGTGACTCAGAAAAGAGAATGAATTTTAGTGACACCCAAGACACATTCCCACCACAGCTGCAATAGCACTCTGCAGCAGAAGAGGACAGAGGAGCACAGAGCCTGGCTACAAAGTGCAGCCATAACGTGCTTATCCAGCAGAGACATGGCCCTGTGTCTGACCCCCAGACTGGGATGGGGTCAAAACCACCAGGCATTGTGTTCTACTTATGCCCCAACAACCTAGGTAACAACACCTAACGTCTCTGACATCCAGTCTTGATTTAGGTTTCTATCCTTCTACTTAAGGAGTGGCCAGCCCACTCACCTTCTTGAGGGGTAACCACCAAGGTCCCACACACTGACTTCTGCTCTAATCAGACAGTGCCAGGCCAAACCATCCTGGGAAACGGGGCCCTTTCATAATGGCTTCTATTTTATCCAGTTAGGCTTCATACAATGTCCTATATCTTATTCTTTACATTTCCTAAAATCTCCCACACTTTCTACACATTATCTCAGCCTCTATTTATTTATTTATTTATTTGGTTGGTTTTTTCAAGGCAGGGTTTCTCTGCATAGCCTTAGATGTCCTGGAACTCACTCTGTAGACCAGGTTGGCCTTGAACTCACGGAGATCCGCCTCCTGAGCGCTGGGATTAAAGACATGCACCACCACCACCCAGCTATTTCAACCTTTGGGTGACGTGGCCTCATCATGAAAAATAAATAAAAGCATATCTGTAGGTATGAAAAAGATAATAAATAGGTTTAAAAGGTAGACTCAATCTTTTCTTATCTTCTTTTCCATGGGATGAAGGCATTACAGTTAACTCCCCCTAATATCTGCCACTGACACTCTCTCTGTGTGGTTTTCCTAACCTAGCTCTAGGAATTTAAAGGAGCACCTAATAAAACACATGTTCTTTTTTCTTTCTTTTTTTATTAATAAGCAAAATAATTAAAAACAAAAATATAACAACCTTAAATGCAGAGTAGCAGTTAAACCAAACTGCTGCTGGAATTCAAGGACGTACCCAAGGTACACGATTCCTCACTGTGAGGCACATGGCTGTGTATGTGTGTGTGTGTGTGTGTGTTGGTGTGTTGGTGTTGGTGTGTGTGTGTGTGTGTGTGTGTGTGTGTGTGTGTATAAAAAACCAAGAATTTGAGAAACGGAAACCACTATGGGGCAGAAAGCATGAACTTTTCATTATGCAATCCCAAAACGCTCTGCTCTTTTCCTTTTCTTTGCCTGTAATGAAAAAGCAAGAAAAAAAAAATTAGATTGTAAGACAATAGCAGATTAAGTTCCTGGCAGCTTTAATCCAACCACATTAACTGTCAAAAAGGCCCAAGACGGCTGTAGAAGAATGTTGTAAGGGTGTTACTTCTGTTTATGTTGCAGTTGTTTAGCTCTGTGAAGCTGTGTTACTGTGCCTGTCTAACACACCTGATGGTCTAATGAAGAAGTGGCCATTAGCAAAGCAAGAAAGGACGGGCGGGGCAGGAGGTAGAGAGAGTACAGAGGGAGAAATCTGGGAGGAGAAATGGAGAAGGAGCCAGAGAAGGGGAGGACGTCAAGGGCAGCCACCCAGCTATATAACCAGCAAGCCACGGAGTAAGAGCAAGATTTACCGAAGTAAGAGAAACTAAGCCAAGCCAAGTCTGGACATTCTTAAGTAAGAATAAACCTCTGTGTGATTTATTTGGGAGCTGGGTGGCAGGCCCCCCAAAAGAGCAAAAACCCTCAACATGAGATAACCACTGACTTCAAGCCAGAGACTTTGTTCCTAAATCCCTCCAGCTACCTAGCCAGAAGTGGGGAGGTTTAGAGAAAAAGGAAGGTGAGAAACGAAGGCAAAATGCATCCATACACATAACACAAAAATAAAGGTTAAACAGAGTGAGAGGTAGGAAAAACGATTAAGTGAGAATGGGGGAAGAAAGAGTGGCAGGGAATGGGGAGACATGAGATTTCAGGAGGAATGGGTTCAACAGTACTATCCACAGAGCAGTTCAGCAAATCCTACCAGTGTGCTCCAACACAACCAGTTTTTGTTGTTGTTGTTATTGTGGGTTTTTTTTTTTTTTTTTTTTTG